ACATTCACGTTTATCGTATTTGTCCAGAATACGAAAGAAGCTATTTTTATTTATTTTATTTTGTTTATTTATTTTTTTTTATTATTTTTTTTAGCTATTTTGATTTTATCACACATGCACTTTGTGTCATTTTGAAATTTAAGGTTTTATTCTGAATTGCCAGTGGTAGGTTGGGGTATCTGTATACCACCAAGCGTTCTACCCATTGAGGGAACAGGACACACAATTTGGTTGGTATACAAATGGTCTCGGCCAACTGGAGGAGCACAGGGAGCTTGGTGTGGCTGATGCCAGGAGCCCAAGCGTTGGGAAGGTAAGGATGGCTGAGGGACAGGGCAGGGCCCCCCATACACCTGCTTTTGGTCATGCTGTCCTCTCTGCTCTCCCCCAGGCCTGCCAGTCAAATTTCCATCCATTCTTCAAAAATTATCTGGATGTCACCTCTTCCCGGAAGCCCTCCTACTTGGCTTGGTACTTGCCCTGTACCTAGATGCTATATTCCTCTTCTCTGTTCTCACAAATCCCTCTTGTACCCAAATCCTTGCTTGGACTGTATACATCGTTCTGTATGTACTATGGAAGAATGAATGAATGAATGAGTCTTCCCTGATGTGTGAAACTTCAAATGGTGAAGAGGAATAAGTGAATTCATTTTTAAAATGAGTTTTACTCTCCAAGCTACTTACATATTCATAAGGATGTTTTCCTCCCATAGGGGAAAGTTAAACAGTTCCCTTACGAGTCACACACCGAGATGCGGCTACTCATTCAGCCATTCCTGCTTGCATTCATTCCCGCATCCTTTGGGCACGGGTCAACTCCAGGCACATGTCAGGCCCATGATAGAGGTAAAAAAAAAAAAGATAGTGGAAAATAGTTGCACTATAAGAACATTTTGAAAAACGCATTCTGGAAAAAGTGCTTTGATGAGGGGAATTTGGGCTTCCCCAGCCTAAGGGCCCAGATGGAGCCCAGTATGTGGGTTGCTGCCCTCAGGTGGAGCACAAGGGCAGCTTGGATACCAAATGGACCATGTGTGAGACATTTGGGGGACGTGCTTCATTCTTCCTGGTTACCCAGATGATCTACATGCGCCATAGAACATTGACAGGGAGAAGGATGATGGGGACATGTCCAGGGCCACAGGGCTACACCAAAGGAACTCCCAGTGGCCAGAGCTGTAGCAGGCTGAGCCACAAGATAGATAGAATAGTATTGAATTACAACTCAAAATATAAGTTAAATATTAGTGAGTTCATCGGGATATAAATAAATGATTGGATAAGTAAATAGTGGGGAAGAAGAGACAAACATCATGTGCGGAAGAATTCCAAACAATTTATGTGGCTTTTCCATCCTCAGGGAGGGGTGTGACTCCTCCCCGCTGGGTGTGGGCCAAGCACAGTGACTTCCTTCCGAAGAGGACAGTGGGGAGAGGGAGGGAAGGGGGCGGGAATCCTGACAGACACCGCCTTGGCCAGGTGGCTACGGCCAGCACCAGCTGCTCTAAGGATGAGATGACAGGCCTGCCCGCTGTGCACTTCCTCCTGAGAACCCACAGCGAGTGAGAGGCAGTCTACAAAGCCCTGGCCAGTCCTGCTCGACACGGCCAGGGTCATCAAACCCAGGAAAGTCTGAAAACTGTCAAGTCGAGAGAAGCCAGGGGAGACGTGAGGAGTAAATGTAACACAGCATCCTGGGTGGGATCCTAGGATGGCGAAAAGAAAGACTGATGGAATCTGAGCCCAGTGTGGTGTTTTGATAATGCTAATGTCCTGATGCTGGTTTCTTAGCTGTGACAAATGTCCCGTGCCAATGTAAGATATTAATAATGGGGAAACTGGCTGGGTGGTCTATGGGAACTCTTTGCTCTTTGGACTATCTTTGCAACTTTTCTACAAAATTAGAAGTTCATTTAAAATAAACATGGCCCCTGTAATAACAAGGCTGATAGAGCCAAAGGAAGAGACCACCCTCCATGAAACGTGGAGGTTGGCTCGGCTCCCTGTGTCCTGGCCTGGAGGAGGGATACACCCCCCTGGGGAATGTGGCTGAGATCACAGTGCACTCAGAAGGCAGGGAGGCTGGGAGGGAGGCCAGTTCTGAAAGGCTCTAAGGAGCTACCTGTGGAGATTGGACTTCTCCCTGGGTCTGAGAGGAACCACGAAGGATTCACGGGTGTTTTCCCATATGGGGAACGGATTGTCAGAGTGAGGCTGCAGGCATGGAGACCCGTGTTCAGCTGACCACGGGCTGGTCCTGGCCCTGCCCTCCCCATCATGCCAGGGGAATGCCAGCAAAGTGGCTCTGGGACCCACCCACACCTGCCTGGCTGGCCCAGGCCGGCTGACCCTCCCTGGCCCAGGAGAAAAGTATTCTGGGCTCCCTGTTAGGGTGGGAAAAAACAGGATGGGCTGAGATAGAATTCTTGACACAAATATTAGGATAGAAAGAAATAAAATTATTTTACTTCCCAAGGGAGGCAAAGGCATGGCACAAAGAAGGAAGGAACAGTTAGGCTCTAGGGTAAGGGGCTTGGGGGCTTTAGGGGGACAAAGGGAAAAGAAAAAACTAGTTACTGTTGCCACAGCGAAAGTCAGAAATGGGTGTGTTCGCTTTCCTTTTTTTCTTTCTCTTCTCCAGGAGGCTGGCCCATTAGGGTCCTCAGAGCATAGTCTGGCAAATGTGGGAGGGAACTGTCATCCCTGCTGTCTGCTTGGGAGCTCTTCAAGTGCTGTGAAAGGAACTTACACAGCCACAGGTGGTTAAACAGACAAAGGGGCCATTAGGTGCTGTGATCTTTTTCTTCAAAGGGGCAATTATGTCTTGTGAGTTTTCTCTTTTTCTCGTATTAGATAGTTTATTTTTCTCCATTAGACGGTTTTTAGTAATACCGTCCTTCACTCCCCCTTTCCATCCCTGGTGGAGACAGAGGCCCACCATGGCAACCCACGCTGACATGACCCTGGAGCTGCCCTCCTGACCTGAGAGAGGTTCAGGACAATGTGTCCCGTGTGGACTTGGCCAGATGGATGAGAAGCTACAATGCAGGAATTCAATGGAAGGAGCCTCAGGCTGGCCTCCCTAGCCGGACCTGGCCACACAGTTGTCCGCCACATGTCACTGTGGAGGACAGCCGGGGTCTGTGGTGACTTCCTGGCCTGGCCACACAG